ATATCTTTCTAGTATAATTCAGTTGTTTCTTTAGTTAGATGAACAATGTTATGATTGCAGTACACTGATAACTAATAGTCGATGGTTTTGGAGTACAAAGCAATTAAACAATGAATAGAAAGTTGGCAACCATATAGGTTTAGTTTTTCAGCTCTTCCTTACCTGCTGCTATATTCAGGCTGTCTTTTAGCTTCTTTTACCATGCACACCAAATTAGTCTTTAAGTACGAGAGCGCTAATGTCATGTTAAACCTGAAAGCGGATGCGAAAAAGATGTCAGAAATCTGCTTGGGGTCAAGATTGGACTTCTATACTTTATTTGGAGTGGGTGGTGGCAGCCATGTTCTCATCTTAACATTTGTAATATAGAGATCTGTTGGAATCTTTTGGGACATTAAGTATGTTGAACGGGATGAACTTTTCAATTTATTTCAATAACTATCTTTATAATGTTATTTTGGTCTAATATGCTCGAGTAACCCCCCTCCTCACATCAGGTGATCAACTAGAGATTGGAAAGGAGACAGGACGCTGTTTAGGAATGGGAAATAATATGTATCCTGCTGCTTCTTTACTAGGCCAGGATAAGGATGAGTCTATTGCAACTTTGCCTGTTGATGAGATGATTGAAAAAGCAGATGGTTTTGCTGGTGTTTTTCATGGTAAGGTTTTATTCTCCAGAATTTGATGATTAGTATTCTTTCTTCCTATTTCTAGATGCTGATGAAGGCAATATTTAGGCTAGCAGGCATTTAGAGGACTCTTCCTGATGTTAGTTCATAATGGTTCTATTTTCGTTGTGTAAATAAAAGTTGTAGGAACTAGCTAGTAAGAAGAGCAAGTACCCATCATCCAGAGCTACGACCAATAGAGCATCCTCTCGTAAAGGTAATTAGCTTATTCTGGATACTATATTGTTCCTTAAATTGATTAAAGTATTACCCTAAATATTAAGAGAAAAAAAGTATTATTGTCCCTTGCTACAAATAAGTAAGAAGTAATCTTTCGTCCTCCCTTAGGAAGCACCGGATCAAACAAGGATCTTGGGATATTTAGACACATAAGAGCACTTAGCAGTGTTTTTGAGAAACTTACTTTGATTCAAAGTCTTGGCTCTTATTGTTATACTTTAAAGCAGATGACAACTATAATGTACAATCCACTCTACTGGTTCATTAAGTTCTTAGAAATGCATATCTTCCATTGACAAACAGGTGAAAGATTTACAATGGGAACATGTAGATGTAAAGTTCATTATATAACCAATGGTAGAAAATATGTGATTTCTCTAAGAAAAACTTCATATGACGAATAAACTTTAATTGTTTTATGTAGAGATACTTCATTCCACCATTTTATTATTATTATTATGAAGGGTTTTATGTTGCATAGAGTTTGATTTGACATCAGTCGTGCCAATAATAAGCTTTATGCAACCATTGGACCTTTGCAATGAAGATATGCTACATCTGTGAGGCAAAAGCTTTTTAGGTATTCTGGTGTAACGAATTTTTCATGACACTGTCCTAAATATAGCGGGAATAACATCGTGGATTTAATCAGATTAGCCAAAATGTAACTGTTGCTAATTAAGACAAGGTGTGTCTTGGATGCTTGCATGCTCAATCATTTAGTGATATTTTGTTCTTAATGAATTGTTTCTATGCACAGTAGGTGGTGCAATGAGAAGGGGGACACTATCTGTGAAATTTGCCGCCACGTTTGTAGGTCCAATTTTTTTGTCCTGTGTTCATTCTTTAAGACCTAAATGTTGATGTTTGGTAATTATGCAACCTTGTAAAATTGTGTGCAACACAACATTGCTTGAATATCTCTTTGTTTGGCACAAGATGAAGAATGCTCCTATTGGCACGAGGTATATGTGTTTATTCTTACTTATCCATATCTTGCTATTTCATGTCTGCTTGGTTAAATTTTTACATTGTAGTTGTAGAATTTATCTCTATAGGGTTACTAGTATTAAAAGAAATCTGATGTATTTTTGACTGAATAACTAGATCTTGTTTCATGAGTCATGCAAGTGTAAGGAGAATATGCTCTAGTATTGCTAGTGACCGCGGACACTAATTGCTTTAAAAGTGTTCCCAAATGTGTTCTTCCAAAGCAATAAATGACTTTGAAATAGTCATTAGCTAGTTGGCATAACCTTAGGCGTATATTATTTGGTTTTTCTTGTTTGGTAGGGTGAACTGAAGCCCATGGATGTAGAGCAACAGAGAGAGTATGGTCACAAGATGGTGAATTTCATTCTTGATTGTTACAAGAACAATGAGAACTCACTGTTCTCAATCAAGTTCAGGTTTTCATAATAACCTATCAATTTCTTTTTGTATCCTTACCCAAGAATTAGTTATTTCCCCATAGAAAGTTTAGCCATTGCATGACATTGTTATTTTGGCAGAGTTTGCGGAGACTTAGCTAGAAAAAAGTACTCCATTATATTTCGAATGAAATTAGTAAAGCTCAATCTTTTGATGAATACATTTTTAATATCTTAGCTAGTTGGTGACCATATCATCTGTCATTGCTCATGATAAAAAATTTATTTAGTTTCATGAGGATTTGAATTTATAATGTTTGTCACTATGGTTATTTTTTATGAAATTTGATTTATGTTGTAAGTTATTTAATAAAATTATTTCTTTAATCCTACAAATAAAAAAAATTCAAATAGAAAAAGAGTTTTCAACAAAATAGTGGCAGAAATAAGCTGCCACTATTTTTTTTAAAACACTAATATTATATTGTAGCGGTTATAAACCACCACATAACTTTTTTAAAAAAAATTTTAAATCATATTTTGGGGGTTTATAAACCCCCCAAAATAACCATTATGATCATATTGAGGGGGTTTATAAACCCTCGCAATATGTTTTTTTTTGACACATCGAAATTATATTGCGGGGATTTTAAACTAGCACTAATTATCTTTCAAAACCCCCACATAACTTTTTAAAAAAATATTTAAATTATATTTTGGGGGGATTTTAAACCCCCACAATATCTTTTTTGAACCATTATGATCATATTGAGGGGGTTTATAAACCCTCGCAATATATTTTTTTGACACATCGGAATCATATTGCGGGGGTTTTAAACTAGCACTAATTATCTTTGAGAATCCCCACAAATCAAAAATTTATTTTGTGGCGGTTGTCGTGGAGGTTTTAAAATCCCGTCGCAAAATGCTTGTGGCAAAGGTAACTGTGGCACTTCTAGAAACTGCCACAATTCTTTTTGTGGGGGTCAAAAATTTTCGCAATTTAACCAAAAAAACCCCACAAAGTAAGTGTTTTCTTGCAGTGTTAGAATATAGGTCCCTCTTGATATGAAATACTTTATCTTCTTAATCTGAATCGATTGGACTAGTAAATTACGAATATAAATGTCTAATACAAAAGACAAAACAATCTTTCTTGCTTGAAACGAACGACTTTCAGTGACACTGTTCAACAATGCAACTGAAACTTCCCATTCAACTTAAAATAACAGCTAAGGGAATAAAGCCAGAAAAAATATGAATAGAGCTATCATCACGTGGCAGGCAGCCTTGTATAAAAGTCAAGAACATTACACCAACAGATGCTTAAATTAACTTTTTCTCCAAATGAAGCTTGTCCACAGAAAGAAAGCTCCAAAGTTGTAGAAGCATATTCCAATTTCCTGAATATTCTAATTAAGAAAGCAACTACATAAAAACAAATCATGTATATATCTTGACTATAACTATACATACACATACACAAAATATAGGCATACGTAAGAATATCCTTTGCATCTTATCAATGCCGAAACCAGAAAATTTTTCAAGGGTGTTCTGACTTGAAAGAAGTCAAAAAAATCCGCAAAAGGTGTTCAATACATGTTTTATACATCTAAAATAAATATTTTACTTATATACACAATATAATTTAATTTTCGGCGATGACCACCCTTAGCAAAGGTGGCTTCCCCCCTGCATCTTATATAAACTACTACTAAAAAATTTGAGGTGAAATTTTGAAAAGAACTATATATACACACAGATACACACTCTTCATGTAACACTACTAGAAATACGGAAAAAAGCGACCACGAAAAGCGACCAAAGTTGGTCGTTTATTGGCCAAAAAGCGACCAAACACGCCTGGTCGATATTAAGCTGGTCCCTTTACCTTAGGGACCAAAGTTGGTCGCTAATTAGCGACCAACTTTGGTCTCACAGGTAAAAGGACCAAATTTTCCGTACAAAGCATATAGCGACCAACTTTGGTCGCTCAAATATTTTAATATTATAAATTTAGCGACCAAAGTTGGTCTCCAGATGTAAATAACGTTTTATTTTTATTTATTGTTAATCATATCAAGCGACCAACTTTGGTCGCTATATTAATAACTTTTATAATTTTTATTTAATTTGCGATCACAATTGGTCGCCAATGGCAAGAATTAATTTTTTTTTTAACTATAAGCGACCAACGTTGGTCGCAAAATTACCAAAAATTGTTTTTTTAAAATACAATAGCGACCAAGACTGGTCGCTATTGCCCAGAAAATTGTTTTTTTTAAGTGAAAAGCGACCAACTGGAGACCAAAGTTGGTCGCTTTTTTTGGTATATTTTTGGTAGAAACTGCCTGTTTTGGCTGCTACACCACCTGCCAGCTTATATCAAATATCCTAAACAAGCATTTTATGCCAACAACAACAACAACAACAACACTAAAAAGCAACAAAATATAAAGATCAATAGAACTAAAACAGTAAGCTAACAAAACTAAGTTAACGTTTATTACAAGCTCATTCGAAAACTAGTTCTATTGTCTAGTTCAAAGTATATAAAGTACTCAAGGAGTGTTCTTTTAGCATCCTCGTTGGAAAGTTGGATTGCCTCGGCCGACTCGTTAGGTGGCTGACTGCGTATGAATTCCCCCACATCAGCTGTGAAGCGAACCTATAAGAAAAATTATATTGAATTAATATTTCAAAATTTATATAAAAGTAAATCAAAATACTTAATGAAAAGTAAAAAACTTACATGTATAGTCGAGGCTCGACCCTCGACCCACCTTTCTGAATCAGTCTCTTTCTTCTTCTTTACAATACGAGTTTCATTGAATAGCTCATCTTGCTTCATTGGCATCATTAAGCTGTCTGGTAGCTTTGGTGATTATCCTCGTGGTACTATTACTCGGGATGAACTTGGATACAGAGAATAACTTGGATACAGTAGCTGACGGGGTGTGTCTTTTGATCAATTGTTGTTCTCGTTAGCGACAATGATGTTGAGACTACAATGGCATGTGTTTCAACTAGTGATGGTATAGGCAGGAATTTTAACATTTCCTAAGTAGATAAAAGAAAGATTATAGAGGAATTCTCTACTTCATTTT